TTTTTTTTGGGCCTTGAGAACCCAATAGGAATAATTTCCCTCTAGTACATAGCTTTCTTTTCTTTTTGGGCCACTCTTTTGGGCTTAGCCAAACCAGAACAGTTACGTTTCTCAAACCAATCGAAACTGATTTTCTAATTAAAACAGTTTCAATTCCTTGGTAACTGGTAAAAGATTCCTTCTACTTTTCAACTTCTTGGAAGTTGAAACTCCTTTACTCTCACCGTTCCAACTACCCACTTAATGGAACCCGTGAAACTCCTCCTCCCCTATTTTAATCAAGGTATCTCAATCCACTTTCATCACAAACAACTCTCCCAATATGAAAAGTCTTCAAACTCACTGTCTAAGGAATACACCAAGAAAAATAGCCTCAATGGAGAAACTTTTCTTTCTCACCCTCATAGACGGCAATGGAAGAAGCCTATTGAGAAGAAAAGACTTTTAAGGTCTATGATGAGAATCTCGGCAGTAGAGAAGGTCTATGGTGGAAATCTTGTATTTTTCAGTATTAGACCATACACCTTCTCTGGAAAACCACTCTCTCTATTTTTTTTGAGAGATGTGTTGCTTCCAAGATCTTGAATATCCACTTTGGATATTAAAGATCTATCAAACGCAACGCCAACTGCTCAACCAAGCAGAATCTGCTGAAGCTGAAAACAGTCATGGCGGAAGAAATCACAAAATCTCAAGACAAAAACTTGGTTTAGGAATTATTGTAATTTGAATTGTATTTGTTTAAGAGTTTTTGTTAACAAGCTGTATGTTATGAGAAACTAAAAGAAAGTTACAAAATTAGTTCTCAGTACAGCGACCGGAACTCTTAAACACTTGTTTGTCATCATCAAAAAGGGGGAAATTGTTGGGAAAAATATTATAGATTTTGATGATGATTTATGTAATAGGGACTTTAGGTCTCCCCCAATATTCAATGTAATTTTTCTTTTTAGAAATATTGTTAAAACCAAGTTCTTGAGTTTTCCAATAAAACTGTGATATTTCTTTAAGCGTTTTGATGCCTGAAGACTTGATCAAATTCAGTGATATGAAAATTGGATATCTTGATCGGAAGTGTCAGAAACAAGTAAGGATTTCTCAATCAGATAAAAATCCTCAGATCCGGAAAGACTACATAAGAAC